ACATAGAGTGTGGAGGTCAGACAGAAATTTTGGGACCTCTCTTTTCTTTTTATTTTCTTGGGCTTGCATTGGCCCAAGGTTTCACTTGTGCAGAAATGTCGCAGGCAGAGGGCCGGCAGCACCGCCTGGGGAGCAGAGTAAGCACACGTGGACTGCATCGTGGAGGAGCTGTTTTCTAGTGACTGATCCTTATCCTGCTCCTGCGTGGCCTTTTATCGATGCTGTCACCTTCCAGATTGTCTGCCTTCTGCATTTAAATGAGGACTGTGCAGATGACACCTTCCTGTTGTCAGGGTCTGAGGCTCTGAGAAGATGCAGAAGGCAGTGTGTACACAGCAGAGGGCAGCATGGTTACCAGAAAAGGCTGTGCAGAGAGTGAGAGACCCAGCCTCTGGTCTCAGCTCTGCCTGGCTTGCTGTGTGATGTTGGACGACACACTTGCTACTTTGGGGCCTCAGTTTCCTTCAATGAGGGGTTGGTACACCAAGATTTCTGTAGGACCTTCCGACTCTTACATCCTGAGAACCCATGAACCTGAACTCGGTCCAAGAATAGCAGCTTTAACTTACAAGTCCCTATGAGGTCCTTGCCCAGACTTGCTCAAAGGAGCCCTCCCTGTTAGGATCTGGAGGGCTGCAAGGTGAACCCCTCACCTGGCATCATGTGGGGTGGGTACCTCCGAGGGGCCCTTCAGAGATCCCAAATTCAGCAACTTGGCCTCAGCTGAACTCCTGCACCCACCTCATTCCCTGCCCCTGGCATGCTGCAGTTGTCAGCCAGCCCCTTTATGTCTGCAATTCACAGAGCACTTTCCCCATCTGCCCACCCAACATCTGATCTTCACCAGGCAGTTGCAGAGAGGACCGGCCTCTTCTCGGTCACCCAGCAAGTGGTGGGAGGGTTAAGTCTCAAAATCAGGTCTCCTGAATCCCTGTGGCCTAGGGGATCCTTTCATCCCTATTTCATGGTTGGGGAAGGGGTGCCAGCAGACAAAACAACCATGTGCCCAGTAGGCTCTGCCTCTGGGGTTAGCCACCTTAGCATTGAAGCTTGGTTCTTCCACTTACCAACTTTTTGACCTCAAGAAGCTTACTGAACTGTTCTGGGTCATATTTTCCTCATCTGTAAAGCAGGAACCACACGGGATATCCATCTCATAGGGTTTTGTGAGAAATAAATGAGTTAATGTATGTAAAGTGCTTAGAACAAGGCTTGGCATGTAGTAAGTGCTCAATAAATGTTAGCTGCTATCAACCTTGTTATTGTTATCACACTGCTTCCCGGGACTGGGGTAGGGATTCGTTGAAATGCTCCTTCAGTGGGAGGGGATAATAGAAAGAGGTCTGCAAGGGCCGGCCTTTGCCTTGGCTCAGTGGCAGAGCGTGGTGCTGACAACACCAAGTCAAGGGTTATGATCCCCTTACTGGTCATCTTTAAAAAAAATAAATAAATAAAAAAGAGGTTTGCAAATTTTGAAGTATTAGATACATTTAAATATTATTTAATGTCTCCCGGACTAATAAATAAATAAATAAATAAGAGGTTTGCAAATTTTGAAGTATTAGATACATTTAAATATTATTTAATGTCTCCCGGACTGGCTATATTGAGCAGACTGTTCAAGGCTATCGAGCTAAAGGCCTTTCCTCCTGAAGCCCATGTTTCAGGTAATTAAATAAAGAACATGTCTAGACAATTCTGCATATAAATAGACTCATTTCAGAGAGGCCCCCAGGTAAGCTCTTTGGGCAATTGTCTAGCATTAGTCACCACGGGCAATTGAGTTCACTGTTATTCTTGGGATCAGGAATTAACCAGGGTGGTCAGGGCTGTGTTCTCCAAACATGGGATTTTTGGAATGCCGTTTAGAGACTATTCTGGGAAATCTGGCTTGTTAGAGAGCAGGAAGAGTACTCTGTGACTCAAAAACAGTAGAAAACTAGGCAAAGAAAAAAGAAAGAAAGAAACCAGGCAAAGGAAAATGTGGGAGGTGAGAATATCCAGCTGGATGCTGACTTTGAGTAAGTGGATGGATGATTGGACAGGAGGAGCTAGTTGCAAATAGAAATGCTTTCTCTTCCTCTGAAATTGCCAGCGCAGATGACAGATTAGTGGTGAGATAAGCAGGCTCCAAAGCTGAAATAGAGAAAGAGGATGTAACAGGAATCACTGAACCCAGAAAAGGTGGGATCCAGAAATGAACAGCACCAGCAATGTGATGGGGAAGCAAAGAAACCGGGGGTGCCTGTGAGTGTGGAGGGACAGAGGAGGCATCGAGAAGGCGAAGGCACCCGGGGCCCTGGAGGCAGCTGCAGCAAGCAGTCCCAACTCAGAGCCACATTTTGTTCCTGGGAACCATGGCATGGAGGTCACTGAAAATGGGCAACGGCTTTGGTGTCCTATAAGCCTGCAGTTATTCCTTTTGGCCACTAGATGTCGGGAATGCGTTGATAGGTCAGACTTTCTGGTCTGTTTGGAAATAAGCTTAGTGGAACTGACATACTGAGTAGTGGAAATCAGCAAAAAGGGGGTTTCTAGGGGCTTTAGGGCAACTACAAAGGAGAAAAATTGGGAGGAATGCAGAGAAGAGGTATTTCCACCAAGACTCACGAAGAAAAGTTGACTGCACTTTTTATTCGTGCATTGTTTTGCAAGTTTGGGAGATTTTCAGGATGAAGGAAGGACGGAGAAACATGGGATAGGATACATTTTTTTTCCCATTCGCTAATGTTTCCCAGAGTTTGTAAGCATTTTCCTGAAGTCAAGTGAATAAGTTCAAAGATCTTAAACCCTCAGCTCAAGTCAAGAATGATGATAATGACGGTGGTGGTGGTGGCATCTAATCCTACGTGTCTCTTACTATGTGGAAGGTATTTTCAGCCCTTTACAAAAATTAACTTCTTTAGTGGTCACAACAAACCTGTGAGGCGAGTGCTACTGTTATAGGTAATACAATAATAATACAGACGAGAGGCCAGAGGGGTTGTGTGACTTGTCCAAGGTACTCTAACCTACATGTTGTACGGTAGATGGTGCCCCATTGAGTCCTGGCTTATGGCAAAGAGAACTTTCTGAGCAACAGATCAATGCTGTGATTTAATGATAAAAGTCACAGAAGAATTCCTCATTCTAATAAACTCACTTCACAGTACTTCAGATGGGAATGAATAAGTTTATAAGGTTGGCCAGTGATTCCTTCTAAGTTGCCTGACTTAAAGGGCCTGGTCAGGCAGGAGCATATCCCTTCCCTGGGAGGAAGCCTTTGCCCTATTGGTTGCTATAATTATCCAAACAACAGAAGAGGATGAACAAGCCTCAGGAGCCATGGATTCCAGAAACTTCTGTGTTTCTTAGCATAGAAAGGTGATCATAAACTTGATATTGCAAAAGAAAAGTGTACTTCTAGTTGGAGACCAGGAGACAAAATGCTGTAGGTTTGGGGCTACCCAGTCTGCTCCCAGGCTGCCCTAAATATTCACGTCTGCTGAGAAAATGTAATGAATTAAAGAAACAGTATGATATGGTACAAAAAAGTGGTGGATTAAAAATCAGAGACCAGATTTCTAATCTGGCTAAAAATATACTTACTGTACATGTGACCTTCCATTTCACTCCTATGAATTCACCTAAGAGGAGTGAAAACATATGTCCACACAGAGAGTTGTAAGTGAACATTGATAGCAGCTTTATTCACAGTGGCCCCAACTATAAACAACCCAGATAACTATCAGCATATGATCGATAAACCAGTTGTGGTACAGCCATACAATGGAATACTACTCAGCCATAAAAAAGAACTTTTGATACATACAGCACCATGGGTGAATCTCAAAAAATTATAGTACACGAAAGAGGGCAGATTAAAAAGAGTTTATGCATACGATTCTGTGTACATGGAGTTCTAGAACACACAAAACCAATCTATAGTGACAGAAAGCAAAGTGGTGATTGTCTGGGGCTGGAGTAGGGTTGGGGATTGGCTGCAGAGGGGCATGAGGGATCTTTTTGGCATGATGGAAGTTTTATATCTCAATGTGGTATTGGCTACGTGGATGTAAAGTCTGGAGATCCTGCACTGAAACTTTCCCTCTCTGGGCCTCAGTTTCCCTACTTGAAAATTTGGTGGTTGGATTAGATGACATCTAGGATTTCTTCTGGATCAAAATTTTCCCTTGTTGTAACAATATCCGATTGTTATTATGGAAGTAGAGTAGCAAAGTGCAAATTTGCCTTATAGGAATTTTTTTTATAGCCAAAGATGAGTTTATTCCAGTGAGCACAGAACATCTGTTGGGTTATCTAATAATACTACTTTTATAGACAGAGCCATTTGCAGACCTGTTTTACTTAAGGAAACAGCTGAGAAAATGATTTGTTTGTGAGTAAGAAGGATGTTACCCATGGAAGTTCCATTAGCACATTAGGAGGGGCTTTCCCATTGACACTGGGAAGAGGGGGGAGGGACACAAGAGTCACTGCTGGCAGGGCTAGAGGGGACAGCTGAGGAAGGGCCACACTTGCCATATCACCTGTGAGAACTCCCACTTGTTTGGGGGCTGGGGTTATCCTATTAAATTTCCCCTGTACTAGGCTGTGCTGGTACTTAGTAAGGACTTAATGATGCTGATGATGGTAATGGTGATGATGGTGATGATGATGGTGGTGATGGGGATGATGATTATGGTGGCAGTGGTGGCGGCAATGGTGTTGTTGTTGTTGTTGTTGGTGGTGGTGGTGGTGATGGTGGTGGTGGTGGTGGTGGTGGTGATGGTGGTGGTGGTGATGGTGATGGTGAAGCTTCTACTGGTGATAATCATCATCATTTCAGTCCTCAGAGAGTTTGTGCAAAAGTAATGAAATGTGGGTGCTCAGAGTGTGTCGTGGGAAGAGGGCAGGGACAGATCTGACTGGAGTGCAGAACTTGGGAGGGGCCAGGAGCAATAGAGCTGGCCATGCTGGGCCATAACAGGCTGCTGATTTCTCGCACTCGTGTGCCCCAGGTCATGAAAACCTACCACATGTACCACGCAGAGAGCATCAGTGCAGAAAGCAAGCTGAAGGAGGCTGAGAAGCAGGAGGAGAAGCAGTTCAACAAGTCGGGAGACCTCAGCATGAACCTGCTCCGGCATGAGGACCGGCCCCAGCGCCGCAGCTCTGTGAAGAAGATTGAGAAGATGAAGGAGAAGGTGAGTGGGGTCCAGGCTGGGAGAGAGTGGCGGCGGGGCACGAGGGGGAGCCCATAATCTCGGCTGACAGCCTTGGCCTCCCTCTTGTTCCTCGGCACCCCCAGGGGCCTTGCATGGATCGATGCTGCCAGCATCTGCTCTCTTGGAGGTCAGTGTCATGGAGGAGGCAGGGCTGGCCCCTGCTACTCTGGTTAGGCCTGGCCTAGGCCAGGGTCGACAGGCAGTGACGAGATCACGCCCAGCAAGCACATTCTCAGATGGGCAGGAATCATCAGGCATTAGTGGGGGCAGGGGCCAATTTGGTGGCTGGGGGTGGAGAGGGAGGGAACTGACGGGGACTGAGTGTGTCCCTACAAGAGAGAACAGCACTGGGCTACCAACCAGCACCTGGGAACCTAAGAAGAACCCATTCTGAAATTGCCATTGCCATGCCAAAGACAAGCCATTTAGAATCACTGTGTATCAGTGCTAGAAAAATCCTTTAGTAGGGCGTGGTGGCAGGAGTCTAGCTTTGGAGTCACACACGTGGGTTTTGAAAATGCCATATTTACAATACCTCTCTTAGCCTCAGTTTTCAAATCTGACAGGGATGGTAAACAAATCTCATCTCTCATGTGAACTCTGGTCGATTGGTAGTGGCTGCCCAGACAGAGCGCTGTGCTGAGGTTTGTAAAGCCCTACCCAGGCTTAGTTAAAAACAACATTGTGATCATTTAATGATGTCTGCCATGGCCAGAGAATTTTGAGGGGCAGTACATATGGTACATTTTTGTCATCCTAAACTAGGTGACAAAAAATTCCTTTCTTAAAAGGCTATGATTTTCTTATTATCTCCGTATTCATTCATTCTGTGCAATTAGCAAACTTTCCCAAGCTCTTTCCATGTACTGGACATTGCACCAGATATTTATTTGGGTTTCTATGAGTCTAGTTCTATGATTATATAATCCTTTAGCTCTAAAAATTATAGAAGCATGGATGGGAACAAAATCCAACAGGACCTGAGTAAGCTAAAAAGTAACTGGAGGCACATAAAATCCTAGGATAATTTCTCAAGGCAAAGAAAACCACAATAATAAGGAAGTATCTCAGTTTAAAAATGGGCAAAGGGGGCCGGCCCGGTGGCGCACTGGATAGTGCGCCGCTTGGGAAGCGC